TCCTCCCCCCCCGGCCCCCCCTCGAGTGCCTGCCCTGGGCAGCGGCCCCGGGGAACGCGCGGTTCCTGCCGATTTGCCAAGAACCACAGAGGTGCTGTCGAAATGCTCAACGAGCTGGTTCATGCCGCTGCCACAACTCGCACGGTCATTCTCCCTCCTGCCCTGCCTCACCTGAGCAAGCAGCTCCCCAGACCCTGGCCCAGGAAGGCAGAGGTGGCTTCGTTGCACCCGAGGCTTCCCCACAGAGCAGGGATTGCATCTCCCTCAGCCAGGCACAGATGGAGCCGGGGCAGACTCGCCTCCTCTTGCAGCAGTTTGGCGATGCTTGCCCCAGAGTTCTTTCCTCGGAGAAGAAACCATCGAGTGAATCCTGTGTCTGGTTTGAGTTAAGAAGAGCTGGGAGGATCCTGCCAAGTGTGAGATCTCGAACTGCAGCACGAGTGTCCTCTGCTGGCCTGAACTGCCTGAGACACCTCCATGACAAAACCTGGGGCAGGTGGCCCTCACCAGCGGCCAGATCCCAAACCCAGCACAGAGCGTTGTGCAGACTCTTCTCTTCCAACCAATTTGCTCTGTGGCGTAGCCACCGAGGAGAATAAATATCAAGTGGGTCTCATCATACTCTGTTTCGTATTTCAGTTCATCCACATTTCTTTTCCTTCTTCCAGAATGAGGGAGGCCTCCTCGCGTCCCAGGCGGGAATACAAGCCCAAACCCAGGGAGACGTACGACTTCGGAGACACTGACCAATCTAACGGGGGCTTCTCTTGCAATCCTACCCCCAAAGTCTCAGGTAAAGCTGTCCCGTGTGTGTGTGTGTGCACACACAGGTGCCTCTGGAAGAGCCTCCTGGGGATGGAGGGGAATTCTCCTGCCTGGAAATGATGTTTCTGGTGTGTTGGACACGGTTGCACCAGCTGCTGGCTCTGAAAAATGTCAGAAATGCCTCTAGGCTCGGGCTGTTTTGTCTTGGGGCCCAGCAGCCTTTGTTATATTGACTTTGGGGACATCCCAGCAGGGTCTCCAGCCCAGGCCGCTCACCCTTCGTGCCTGCCCAGGGTCAGCAGTGACAGACAAGAACAACAAAGCATCTCTCGCTCCCTTCCCTTCTTCCATCCCAGCGCATTCGTCCCTCCCTGATCCCAACGAGGCAGGCGGGTTCCTTTGTCTTGGGGCCCAGCAGCCTTTGTTATATTGACTTTGGGGACATCCCAGCAGGGTCTCCAGCCCAGGCCGCTCACCCTTCGTGCCTGCCCAGGGTCAGCAGTGACAGACAAGAACAACAAAGCATCTCTCGCTCCCTTCCCTTCTTCCATCCCAGCGCATTCGTCCCTCCCTGATCCCAACGAGGCAGGCGGGTTCCTAACACAGCATGTGGGCCGCCCCGTTTCTCCTTAACACATCCTCCCTTTGGGCCCTGCCTTTCCCTCTCTCCAGTTCCCGTTGGTTTAAGCATGTCTCTTTTTGTTTGGAAGCAGCTTCCTCCTCTTTCCGATCCGACAAGCCGTCCCGGGCCTCCGTCAGGAGTATCCGTGAGTTTCCTCCCCGCGCACTGCATGATGTGTGACCATCTCTCCCCGTCCCTCCTCGCTCCTCCTGCCGTGCTGCTGCTGCTTGGAGCCGCTAATACCTCCGTGCTGAGCCTGGCTGGCCGAACAGCTCGGCTAAGCCGAGCTAAGCCTCAAGCTATAAGCCCCCAAATTAAAACGACCGCGCTATATTGATATTTACCACCCCAGAGCCGGGTCCTTTGCTCACCCGAGGGCTTGTAGCAGCTACTGTCACGCAGCCGTGAGGCCAAGGGGATCAGATGCTCTTCCCCGAGGTGTCAGACATCTCGAGGATGACCCCATTCTGGTTACAAGCCCTCAGCCTGGATCAATCCTGCTCGTGCTCCCCTCCCTGCCCTGTACCCCACTGCTGAAGGCTGGAGGCAGCAGGCAGAGCCTCAGCACGCTGAGCGGGTTTTAGGGTCCCAGCCGGGCAGCAAGGAGCCTCGAATGGGTTGTGGGGTCTGTGGGTCGGCATTTGGGAGCCTGGTGGGCCCCTGAGGCCGGGCTGGGTCTGTGGCTCAGAACTGTGGCAGCAGGGAAAAGCTGGTGGTGGTGCAGAAGTGCTGTGGTGGTGGGACCAGTCTGGTATTTTGGGGACGTTTTCTCAACAACGTGAACCTGCTTGGCTGCCGCTTCTGGTGTTTTCCGAGTTCTCTTTTGGTGCTGGGTCCTTCCTCGCCACGAATGTCGAGCCAAGCAATTGTGCTGGCTGCCCTTGGCCCCATTCCCCTTGCCCTGGTTGGAAGAGCTCTGGCACAGGAGGGCGACAGGGAGGGGAAGGGGGAGCCCTGCAGACCCTGGTGGTCTGTATAAGCTCGATACGTTTTCAGTCAGATCCCTCCGGCTACGATGCCAAGTGCCTGCCCAAGCAGCAGCTTTCCCTGCTTTAACAACATGCCCTTTGCAATCGAGAGGTCTAACGGTTAAATCATGGAACTGTGGGGAAAAAGATGAGGGGTTTCTCCCCCTTTTTCGGGCGGGAGC